ACAATTAACATGTGAAAACTTGAACTGTAAAAGCAGCAAAAGAAAAATGAACAACTTGTTACCTACAAGGGCAACCCCCCACCGCCAGAAGACTATGGGTAGATTTTTTGCAGTCCAGAAGTGAGTGGCACCAGACAGTCAAAATAGGGCTTCCCTGGTGGCACAGTGGTTGAGAGTCCGCCTGCCGATGCAGGGGACATGGGTTCGTGCCCCGGTCCGGGACGGTCCCACATGCCGCGGAGCAGCTGGGCCCGCGAGCCGTGGCCACTGGGCCTGTGCTCTGCAACGGGAGAGGCCACAGCAGTGAGAGGCCCGCGTACCGCAAACAAACAAAAAAAACAAGACCTATCTATAGGCTGCCTACAAGAGACTCACTTCAGCTTTAAAGACACACACACTGCGAGCGAGCAGATGGTAAAAGGCAGTCCATGCAAACGGAAACCAAAAGAAAGCTGGGGCAGCTATACTTGCATCAAACAAAAGAGACTTTAAAGACTGTAATAAGAGAAATAGCAAAGGGTCAATACAAAAAGAGGACATAACATTTATTAACAGACATAGAGGGAGAAATAGACAGCAATACAATAATATTAGGGACTTTAATACCTTTCTTTCATTAATGGACAGATCATCTAGACAGACAATCAATATGAAAACACTGGCCTTAAATGACATACTAGACCAGAGGAACTTCACAGTTATATATGGAACGTTCCATTCAAAAGCAACAGAATACACATTCTTCTCAAGTGCACATGAAACATTCTCCAGGACAGATCATATGTGATGCCTCAAAACCATGTGAGGCATGTGATGCCTTAATAAATTTAAGCAGATTGAAATATCAATAAGGCTTCTCCACCATAATGACATGAAACTAATCAATTACAGGAGGAAAACTGGAAAATTCACGTATGTGGAGATTAAACAATGTTCTACTGAACCACCAATGGCTCAGCAAGGAAACCAAAAGAGTAAATTAAAAGATACCTTGAGACAAATGAAAATGGAAATCAAACACGCCAAAATTTATAGGATGCAGAAAAGTAACCCTAGAAGGGAAGTTCAGTGATAAATGCCTACATCAAGAAACAAAAATCTCAAATAAAACACCCTAACTTTATACTTCAAGGAACTACAAAAAGAAGAAATGAAGTCCAAACTTAGTAGATGGAAGGAAACAGCAAAGATCAAACTGGAAACAAACAAGCAACAACAACAACAACAAAATAGAGAGTAAAAAGACAATAGAAAAGATCAATGAAACTAAGGGCCGGTTCTTTGAAAAGATTGATTAAACAACAAATGAACAAATCTTTAGCTACAAATCATGGCTATACTCACCAAGAAGAAAAGAGAGAGGACTCAAATAAAATCACTAATGATAGAGGGGATGTTACAACTGTTATCAGAGAAATGCAAAGAATCACGAGAGACTACTATGAACGATTATGTGCCAAACCTAGAAAAAAACAGATATACATTTGTAGAACCAGACAACCTACCAGGACTGCATCACAAAGAAAATAGAAAAAGACCAATTACTAGTAAGGAAGTTGAGGCCACAGTCGAAAACCTCCTGTTAAACAAAAGTCCAAGACCGGATGGCATCACTGGTGAATTCTGCCAAACATTTAAAGAAGAATTAGAATGAATACCTATCCTTTTCAAATTTTTGCCAAAAAAGAACCCAAAAACAAACAAAAAGAAAATGGAAGAGGAGGGGACACTTCCAAACTCATTTTACAAGGCTAGCATTATGCTGGTACCAAAACCAGACAAGAAGGCTGCAAGCAAAGAAAATTATAGGCCAATATCCCTGATGAACGTAGATGCAAAAATCGCCAACAAAATATTAGCAAACTGAATTCAACAATACATTAAAAGAATCATATACCATAATTAAGTGGGATTTCTTCCAGGGATGCAAGTTGGTTCAACATCAATATATCAATCAATGTGATACAACACATTAACAGAATGAAGGCTAAAACTTACAATGATCATCTCAGTAAAATGGTACATATGAACTTATTTACAAAACAGAAATAGAGTCACAGATGTAGAAAACAAACTTATGGTTACCAGCGGGGAAATGGGGTGGAGGGATAAACTGGGAGACTGGGATTGACATCTACATGCCATATGATCCAGCAATCCCACTCCTGGGCACATATCTGGAGAAAAACCTAATTATATGAAAATACACATGCACCCCGATGTTCACTGAAGCACTATTTACAGTAGCCGGGACATGGAAGCAACCTAAGTGTCCATCCACGGAGGAATGGATAAAGAAGATGGGGTACACATACACAATGGAATACTACTCAGCCATAAAAAGAACAGAATAATGCCATCTGCAGTGACATGGATGGACCTAGAGATTATCATACTAAGTGAAGTAAGTCAGATATCATGATGTCGCTTATATGTGGAATCTAAAAAAGCGATGCAAATGAACTTATTTACAAAACAGAAACAGACCCACAGACTTAGAAGACAAACTTACAGACACTAAAGAAGAAAAGTGGCAGGGGTGGTGGGGGCAGTGGGTGGGAAATTAGGAGTTTGGGATTAACACATACACACTACTGTATCTAAAATAATCAACAAGGACCTACTGTACAGCACAGGAAGCTCTACTCAGTATTCTGTAATAACCTATATGGGAAAAGAATCTGTAAAAGAATGGATACACGTATAACTGAATCACTTCACTTTACGCATCAAACGAACACAACATTGTAAATCGACTATACCCCAATACAAAATAAACATTTTTAAAAATTAAAAAAAGGACATTTGCGACAACATGGATGGACCATGAGGGCTTTTATGCTAAGTGAAATAAGTCAGTGAAAGACAGATCCTGTATGATCTCACTTATATGTGAAATTAAAAAAAAAAGAAAACAACTGAACTCACAGATACAGAGAACAGATAGGGTGGCTGCCAGAGGTGGGGTGGGAAATGGGCGCAGGGAATCCAAAGGTATAAATAGCCAGTTATAAAATAAATAAGTCGTGGGGTTTAAGGTACAGCATGGTGAGTATAATTAATAATGCTGTAGTGCATATTTGAAAGTTGCCAAGAGAGTAGATCCTCAAAGTTCCTGTCACAGGAAAAAAATTTTTTCTGACTATGTGTGGTGATGGATGTTAACTAGATTTAGGTGTGATCATTTCCCAATATAGACATATATCGTATCATTATGCTGTATATCGGAACCTATCATTATATGTCAATTATACCTCAACAACAGCAAAAAAAATGTGGATGAAGAGGAGGCCGAAGAGAGGGTCAATGAGACGCAACATGAGAAAGAGACACAAGGAAGTGGATTCTCCCCTGGAGCCCCGACAAAGGAAGGCAGGCTGGTGACACCTTGGTTTGGGCCCAGAGACCCACAGCAAACCCGTGACCTACAGGGCTGTGAGATAATAAATGCAAGTTGTATTGAGGCACTAAGTTTGTGGTAATTTGTTAGAGAGGCCATAGAAAGTTAACATACCAAGTCTCCGGAGAGATTAGAGCAAACGTATCTCAACCGATAGGTGGGATAAGAAGGGTAGCTATTTGAGAACAGATTAGAAATCTCGCTCTAAAACAAGGAAACGTTTAGCTAAGATACGCTTTAGTAGACTAAAACATCAAATGCTACCATATTAAAACTAGGGAGTAACCATATGAAACTGAAAGAGGTTAAATTAATACTTAAAAGGCAGAATCACTAGAAAGAATAATACTGAGAACAGATGAGGGTATGGGGAAACAGACACGTACGTACACCGCTGACCGAGATACCAACTCCATTCTGTGCAGCAATATGTATGCGTCAGATGTTTTTACAGTGTGTGCCGTGGTTTACGGGTTAGAATTTTCAGGAGAGCGTTATTTGGATTGAGATTACTATGTTTTGGTACACTCATTAATGGATGTTAATATATGTATTGCTATGGAAAAATACTTGTAGTAGAAAAACCATGCTACAAAACAGTGTGCTATACTTTTATAAATAAAATATTTATGTATATAAAAAGACTGGAAGGCAACTGGAGTTAAATGTATATTGGGTGATGGACTTATACAAATTTTCCTTTCTTAAAAATATTTTCTAAGCTAAGTATGTAATTAGAAACAAATCTAATAAAAAATGGTAAAGCATATCTAAACTTTTACATAGAAGACTACAAACTACTAGGATTTACTACTTTGCGAGGAGGTATGGGGTGAAAACTTAATTAGGTAAGAAGAAATTTTAGACTTTTCAAGGCAGCCGAAACCTTTGAAATATGATACTTGCCTTGGGTGCAAAGTTTAAGAGGGCACCAAAACTCGGTAATCGAGATAAATACTATTCAGTGCGATGTTTTCAAAACTCAAAAAAACAAAACAAAACACCTCAAAACTCATGCCAAACAGAGCCATAATGAATAAAATATCAAGATAAAGACAGGATCAGTATCTGATCCATGATGGACAAAATGGACCACAGTTTGACGATTATCTTCTAAAGCAGTGATTCTCAAAGTGTGGTCCTGGGTCCAGTCACATCAGCGTCCCCTGTGAGCCTGTTAGAAAGGCCGACTCTCAGCCCCTTCCGCAGGCTACTGAATCAGAAACTCAGGGGTGGACGCCAGCAATCACCCAGGTTAGAGAACCACTGTGCTAGGTTAACAGATAGGCGGTATCAACAGCCATGCTGGTAGAAAATGTATATTACACTGATTTCCAAAGGCAACATTCCGTGTTTGCTGTGAGCCTGGCCCTGTGCTAAGCTCTTCGCATGACTGGGGGCACATTTAGTACTTCAGTTTCACAGAGGAGGAGACTGGGCTCAAGCAGGGTTAAGTATACGGCCTGGGGTGGCCCAGCTAGGACACGAGAGACCCCAAGACCTGGAGTCCAGATGTGCCTGACTCTGCTCTGTTGGCATCTGTGGAAACAGCGATGCAGGTGGCCAGGGCCAAACCAGTGGAGAAACCACACGGACTCACCCTCTGACTCTGACTCGTCTTCCTCTTCCTCGTCCTCCTCTTCGTTGCTCTCGTCCTCACTCTCTTCTTCTTTGGCGATTTTCTGCCGAGCACTCTTGAACACCGACTGTAAGACGATGGAGTCTTCGTAGATCTGAAGGGTCAAAGTGGCACCTGTTAAACACCTCAAGCTGAGGGCCCGAGACTCACCATCGCAGCATGCTCTTTTCTTCCCTGTGCCACACACCAGCGTTATTTTACGTGAATTTTAGTAGAAACATCAACGTTATTGTCTATGCCTGCAGGAAAACACCAAACTCAAATCTACAGACATAGTCTTATAGGAAAAGTCCACATGCAGTTGAAATAATTTCAGAGTAACATAGAAGTACCATATGATCCAGCAATGCCAATTCTAGATATATACCCAAAGGAACTGAAAGCAGGGTCTTGAAGAGATACATGCACACCCATGTTTACAGCAGCGCTATTCACAGTAGCCAAGAGGTAGAAGCACACCCAATGTCCATCGATAGAGGGATGAAGAAACAAAACGAGGTCTACCCGAACCGTGGAGTATTATTCAGCCTTAAAAAGGAAAGCAATCCTGCCGCAGCCTACACAACATGGATGAACTTTTGAGGACATGATGCTAGATGAAATAAGCCATTCACAAAAAGACAAACACTGAGTGATTGGCTTATGTGAGCTATCTAGAGGAGTCCAATTCGTAGAAAGAAACAGAACGTAGAATGGTGTCTGGCAGAATGATTACAGAGTTTTAGTTGTACAAGATGAAAGTGTTCTGGAGATCTGTTGCAGAATAATGAAAGTATACTTCCCACTACTGAGCTGTACACTTAAAAATGGTGAAGATGACACACTGGGATGGGGCCACTGGGGCAGAATTTGCCAGGGACACTAGAGTTGAGCTGGCTATTAAAAGGGTGAGGAGGGTCCCACCAGGGATCATGAGAAAGGAGACGGTCTTTTTAGAAAAGGAGAGCAAGGAGAAAGATGGGGCGGCCAAAGTAAAACAAAGATGCATCCAGGATGGTGCCATTGCCAATTTCCTGGTTATGACAAGGGACGATGTTACCATCCTGGGACGATGTCAAGGCTCTCTCTGTATTCATATTCTTTCCTACAACTGCATGTGTATCTGGGGAAGCCGGTGTTTATGGACCATGAACCGTTACTGGACCATGAACTGTTTAGGTTGAGGAACAGCAGGAAATGAGGCCAAAGAGTTAGTCTATGACTTTAGAAAGCAAACTCCAGCGATTAAATTCATTCTAGAATTTAACAGTACATGGGGAAGCTCGAGGCTTGGTGGGCAGTAGATGGACAGGATAAAAAGGTGGTTACAGAAAGATGGGCCAGCATCCGGGAGGGCCTCGGAGGGAAGCCAGTAAAGAGGCCATTTGTCACCCCAGTTCAGGGGTGAGGCAGTGGGTGTCGGCAGACAGACAGGGAGGCTGTCTGGGACAGGGTGTGTATCACAATGTTGCCACAGTCCTATAAAGAACCCCCAAATCTATCCACAAACTGTAAGCGGTCATTCATAAAAGACTTGCTTGTTGACGCTTATATTTACTCTCTGCGTCCTAGTTTTCACCTCACATTTCTTTGAAAAAGGCTTGCTTTCACGACCTATTGTTTTGGTCAAAATAATACTTCTATTAACTCCCATTAACTGGAAAGGTATGGTCTGTTCAAGGCACATTCTGAGGAGTCCCACATTCTCCAATTTAGTGACTGGAATTGACATGAAGATAAAAACAAGCCCAATCCGGAAAGAGGCTTGACTCTGCATCGGCTGGCAGACACACTGACCTCTCTTCTGGTTCTTTCTGCCTCATGTGTATGAGAGCATAGATAGAAAAAGGGGAGTCCCTACAAAAGGTGAGTGGAATTGAGGTGTAATTAAAGTGAAAGTGTCCTCGGCCATCTTAGTTATTTTCATAGTGTCACTTACTCTTACACTTGCTAACTACAGAGAAGAGGAGTAAAGAGAATTGCAATTGACCTGATAAAAAGCATTTTTGTAACAATTAGAGGCGATGGTTATTTTTTCTATATATTTTTTGTTTTAAAACAAAACAGCAGTTTTGGCTCCTGATGCAAAGTTTACAGTCAGAAAACCCAAGGTAAGTATAACCAAATACACCATCTCTGTAAAGGCAAAAACTGTACCTCTAGCTTTTAAGCATTACATTAACTTATTAACTTAAATTCCTCCTCTGATTAAAAGCCAAGCCTTTAAGGGAAGCACAAGTAGGAACTAGCATAGCTATGGTACAAAGGAGCTGGCATTAGCTTGAAAATGCCAAAGCCTCAACTGACTTACATAGGTAGCATGGAAATACAGGCTTTTATCTCTCCTTTTCTTCTGCCAGGATAATAGCGACGGTAGCAAATGAAAAATTTTAACTTAAAAGAACAAAGCGTGTTTAAGGTTAAACATGTCTCACCTGGGATCCCTCCAAGTTGAACGTCTGAGCATTGTGACAGAGCAGCATGACATCTTTCTCCAGGTCACCCAGGCTTCGGTACTTATGATTACGGATTCTTTCCTGATGCAAATTTTGGATAAAACAGAGGAAAGTTGGGGAGGGCGGTGGTGGAAAACACAACAATCATTACTTGGTTAACAAAGCCTGATTTTCCATTTGTCTTCCCAGTAGACAGTCCTGCCAGGGAGGTGGGGCTACACAACTCCAGGGGGTGTCATAAACAGAGACCACCCTCCCACGCGTATTCCTTTCCTATAAGGGGGAGTAAGGAGCATATGATGGGAACCAGGAAGAGCAGTGGGATCCAGGAAGGAGTCTGAAACTTTTCAAATAAAACGCAATATAGGGCTTCCCTGGTGGCGCAGTGGTTGGGAGTCCGCCTGCCGATGCAGGGGACGCGGGTTCGTGCCCCGATGTGGGAGGATCCCACGTGCCGCGGAGCGGCTAGGCCCGTGAGCCATGGCCGCTGAGCCTGCGCTCCGCAATGGGAGAGGCCACAACAGTGAGAGGCCCGCGTACCGCAAAAAAAAAAAAAAAAAAAAAGGCAATATAATCAATACGAGCTCTCAGTATATTGATTTCATAACATACATTCAAAGGCACAAGAACGTCCCGACCATTTTAGTGCCAAGCCCTGCATGGGTGTCAGTGGCAGTCAGATAGGTTACCACTGTCAAGTCCTAACTGTAGTCATTTCAATGAATTTACACTTCTACTTTATTTACTTAAAAAATAAAGTTCGTAAACAAAAGATCTACCTTTATTTTTTTGAAATCCACCGGTTTCCTAATTAATTCATAGTATTCTGGTAATTCTTTTCTTGAAGGTAACTGAATGAAGACTTCACTGAGCTGTCGCCCTGAACTGTAGGGGGGCAGGGGAGAAACGAACAAAAACATAACAGATCATGCACTACAGAGAAAAACTTGTATTTTATTTCAGAAAAATGTCAAAAAAGCAAATGACATCCCATGCATAGAAACATGGGGCTCTTCAAATCAAAGAAAATCCTACAACTGTATGGGAGATCAATGCCCCCAGTGCTAACTTCAAAATGACATTAGAATACCAGTAGATCTCCACTTCTGTCATACATATGGGAAGGCCACTGTGGACTTCTCTTTCAGAGTGAACCTCTCTTCAGTTTGATACAAATATTTAAAGTGTCCCATTCCACCAAAAATTCCATTTCTAAATGAGTAGTAATTGAGTTGGTTAAAAAAAAAAAAAAACTTTATTTCCATATCCCTTTGTTTTCAAATCCACTTTATATTCAGAAAATAATGTGTTAGAATATACTCTGGAAGCTCAAATGAAAAGCTTTCGTATGTACCAGGGACTGTCTTTTCAGTCTTACTCCTCTTAGGGCATTTTTTCCACACTGTGAACTACACAAACCTTTATGATTATTTGCCAGTGGAACCCCTTCATCTTGCCTAACTTCATTTTGTGTGTATGGAGTCATTTGTGCTGAAAAGAACAAACATATTTAGCAAGTGTGGCTGTCTCCTGTTCCTAGGATCAGTGCTATACCCTCCCCGCAAATTCACGGTAGCTTTACTTGAAAGCACATGTAATAGCAACGAACGCTTCGCATTTTGTAACTTTGAGAAACAGACTATAAAGCAATGTAAGCATTTAACATCACTTAATGTTAGAAGCAGACATGGTCAAAGGAACCAGGTATTCATAATTTAGGTTCAGGACCCTAATATCTGACTCAGCCTATCCAGATCAATAACAGCTCGGGAGATACAGTACAGTCATTTTTCACAAAAAAATCTCCTTTCCCTTACGATGCCATCTCTACTTCCTTTGTGAAGGCAGAAATATTCAAAACAAAACAAAACAAAACAAAACACCCCATAAATCGCTATCAGGTAAATTTTGGAAGGTGATTCCAGGAGTGTGTGAGAATGCTAGAAGCAGCGGCAGAGGAGGAGTGACAATATGCTGTTTTAATCTATAGTCCCAGTCATATAATTAGAAAATAATCATAATGACACTTATCATAAAAAAGGCATGCGCACTAACTCAAATGGTTGCCTAGCAACCAGTGGGGAAAATGCTGAAGTGCAAAGGGGCCTGCATAAATTAACCGAAAAGCCTGTCAAAGGGATGGGCGAGTTTTTCTGTGATGCTGGGTCAGGGTTTTATTTTATTTTTTAATGCACATATGGGCCTCATGAATACTAAAACCAGGGGCCAACACAAGAGGCATAAGAAGACTGCAGTTTAATAGGAAACTGGATTTTAAGATTATCATGGCAAGAACCAAGGTGTTCTCTTACCCTCCGCCACCCCTACCCGCCCCCCCCAACCCCTTCCAGGTTGAGAAATGCATTTGTACCGCCATAAATTATACCACACAGTATATGACAAAAACTGTTTCATCTGCTATCACCTTCAGCATAGGGCCACAATCTCTGGTCTGTTTTTCTTTCTCCCATTCTGAGACTTAAATACACAAACATTTCACCGGTCTGTAAATGAATCTCTGAAAGGCCATAAGAGGAATTTATAGATATTCATTCTTCTATTTGTATCAGTGACTTCTTTATAATTAGCATTCTTTATACCCTAGCAACAGAGAGTCAGACCTCTTTGTGATTCGGGATTTAACAGCTGACCCTCAATGACATCTTCAGTGTCATTTTCTGCATTACCAACAGATGGTGTCATTTTTCTATTGACGGATTACAAGTACATCTTTGCGTTGTACACCTGTGATGGACGTACTCTTAATTTCACCTGTGCTACTGGTGAAATAAGAAAGAAGCAGTTTGCACTGAGAATGTGATAGAGCTCTTTCCAACAGGGGCAAAATGGCTGAGACAATCTTGGTCTGATGTCCTCTTCTTAGGACACAGAAATTCTAGACCCTATAAGGAGACAAGTCCACAGTTATCTGTGCTCACAAAGGAGAGAGCTGAATGTTCTGAGACTCAGGGCCAATACTGTAAAATGACATAAATTTATTCGGTTTTAAAAATAAAGGTTCCTTGGCTTAATATTCCCATCTCACTTCCTTTATTCCCCCTGCTAAGAACCAAGGGCCTGAGCTGAAGGAGGGCTTGGATGCCATGTAAGGAAGTCTTCTCGTGGTTCCGCTGGAACCATCTCCACTCACACACCTCGGTCTGGATTTCGAAGCCCTCCTTGACTCCTCCTCTCTAAACCCTGACTGTACTGCTGACTTGACTCTTCTGGTCAGAACAGCCTCTCTCCTGTGTACCCCCAGGGCCCACGGCCAATCCCCCCTTTATCACAAATTCCAAGTCTCCAGGCTTGACCCACCTCTCACTCCACGGTTAGAACGTTCTCTATCCTTTTCTCCCTTCAAATATTCCATCATCCATTCAGGATCAAGAACCCTTCCTCCAAAAAAAAGATGGAAGAAGTTTTCCTCAATATTAAACAACTCCTGGTACCTTGCTGCTCAGAACTTAATTCTATGCATGCTGGGTTTTTTTCTCTCCTCCACGGAGAACACTTTACATGCAGTCAAAACCCCTCCCCCATCTCTATCAGAGGGGACAGTTCTGATGGCGACCCTGGGCAGGAAAAGTCAGGTGGTCCTGGAAGACATCCAGCTTTTATATAACCTACAGAATGCACTGAGGTAGCAGGACCACTTGCTAATGTTGCTACGGTAACTTATTCTTTCCCTAAATTAAAGGTTAAAAAAAAAAAGGTAAATAAGAAAAAGGAAGTGAAGCAGCCTGACAGACTTTTGAATTCTTGGCATTTCTTTCTCAAACTTAAGCTGCACAAATGCTTTTTCATTATACCTTTTCAAATACTTGTTTTTCACTGCCAGGAAGTTTTTTTTTTTAAGTACAGAACAATGGACTAATTGTACAACGGTTTGCAAAAGGTGTTCCGTTTCTGTTGAAATGCTTATCCCTACCCCCAAGGTATTTTCCATTATGTCATTTTACACATTTAAGGCCTAAGTATAAATTGTTATCTCAAAGTGTACTGTTTGCCATGACAAAAGTGATACCTGTCCCCCTCCTCCAAAATGGTCTGATTTCAGATCTATTTCATACAACGATCTACCACAATGAGAAACGTGACCCTGATAAGACGTAGGGTGCTGGGGGCGAGGAGAATAACCTAAAACTACAAATATACAGGAAAACCCACTGCACTTAATAGAGTTTACAGGTGCTGGTGGGCAAACACATTTCCTCTCCACAGAGACGAAAGGGCAAAGGGACACCTGGCTATGCTGTCATGGTGTATGCGATGGAAAAGCCCTACATGCCACTATGTTAATGGTGGTTTGCAAACCCTGCATGTAGAGCTCACACACACACACACACACACACGAGATCTGCTTTGCTATGCTTCATCTGGGAACCAATTTTTCTCCAATTACCTCCACAAACCGAATGGCAAGAATTTCACATCTATACTATTATGACTTTAAAATAATGACTACAGACATTATAAATATCACATAAATATCACCTCTACCTTTGATTACAGTTTAGGTAAAGCTGGAAGAGTGCATAAGACTGTAACAGTAGCTTAGAAACCTATTCCTTTAAAATGCTGGCCAGTATGTCTTTCATAATATTGGTTGAGAGTCCTTTTTTTTTTTTTGGCTGCTTTATGATTTGTCTTTTTACTTACCGAAGCTGATCTGTTGACAAGAACTCCTAATAGATACTCCTGGAAAAGTGATCTTAACTAAAGCTGACATAGGTTTTGTTTATGTTAGTTAATGAATATGAAAACGTGGTTATCTTGCCTCCTTAAGGAAATGACGTCATGATTTAGAATACCCATTTGTAGTTGGAAACGTTTTACAGAAAACGATTACAGTCCTAAAGGAATCAAACATAGGAAATCATTTTGGGAAAAAACCCCATAAAAATTGGGTCAGCATTGGAGGGCAGTAGGTGAATACGTGTCTCTTTTTCAGGGTCAGATTCCTATAGGGCTTAAAAAATACCATTTCAAAATGCACTTAGACCTGAGTAGCACCCTGCATATCTAGAAAGCCCCCAGAAACCTGAGCCAGTCACAGAATAGGTGTCAGAGTACCCGCACTCTGCATTCTCTACTGAGGTCTCTCACCTGAGTCTTACTGAGTATTGACTGACAATACTGATGACTCCTAACAAGCTTGGAAATCCGACTTCGCAACTTCTTGAAGCATATAGGATGTAACAGCAAAAACAGAATGGGATGTGGGTTGACTTGCTTTTGATATGGGATGGATAGCTGTAAAAATCACCCCAAGGGTTGTGTTAAGGACTAGGTATCTAATGTGCCTGAGTTACCAACCAAAATGAGGTTACATCAGGTTTATGCAAGGTAAATGCCCCCATGTTAGGAGGCTTAAATGGCTTGCTCAGCTCAATAAGAAAAGGAGCAAGGCTTTAACAACAGTCTTCAATGTAATCACACTCTGATGTACGGTTTTGCTGCTGGTAATCTACTCTAGGCTGGAATATGGATAAAGATATATATATATATTGTTTTATATGTACATGTAAAGATGTTCATCACAGCATTATTTAAAATAATTTAAGGCAGCCAAAATGTTAAACAATCGGGGGAAGAAAACAAGTAATGGAAGGCTAGAATCTAAAATTATGTATTTTTAAAGTAGGTGCCTTAAAGAACAGAAAAAAATGCTCATTATGACATTCAATGGGAAAAAAAAACACAAAAATGACAGGACATCAAATTGTAAATGCAATACACATTCAGCTAGGTTTTTAAAAGGGCATGAACTAAGGACCAGAAGGAGAAATGCCAGAGCATAAATAAACATTAATAATAAGGTACTCTTGTTCAACAAAATGAAGGTTTACAATCTAATGTAATTTGGAACCATACTGTCATCCATAAATAAAGTAGTCCTCAAACACTTTTATGGGTTGCCTTCTTTGAAAACATGCTATAAGTCAAAAATCTAATTTGATTTTTCCCAGAAAAATGTCATCCGAGGGGCACGTGACCGACCTTTATTTACATCACCATAAACAGCACAGTTCCTCAACTGGCACCTCTGAACTCTCCCACAGAAGGCCAAATAAATAGAGTAATAGAACAATAATTCCACAAATTTTTTATTTACTATATTACAACCAACAGAATCTACTGTATGAAGTCCCTATTTATTCCTTCAGAATTCTCTCGTTGAACTTATGACTGCAAGTCAGAGGTGATCACCTGGACAGGAGATTCAGAGAGTACTGTTTATTTACTCGTTTATTTAGACAAGCATTTTGAGGAGACGACTGCGAAGACTTATCGTCTGTCACCTGACTTTTTAGAAATATTGACTCGGGACACCTAGATTCTTCTCCTCTTTTTCTCACTCGACACTTCATCATAGCAGGTAGAGGTACAGAATCCTAACTGTCCACCTGTCTCAGTGTGATAGACACACTGGTCACGCTGTTTCATCAGCTTTTGTCGCCTCATCTTGGAGACCCGGAAGTGACTCAGAGGATGCCTTCCTTTCAAAAGGTAAGGACACACCTTCCCTTCCACTGAAGGTTCTGTCCTTTGGTCTTTCCCCGGGTCTCTAACTTCGTAATGTTAAAAAAAGGCTTCGGAACTTTTGGCTGAATTGTGATCAAACTCAAAACCACAAAGCTTTTGCAGGCAAACAAAATCAAATGCCTCTCCACGTGAGCTGCAGATCCCCAATGTCACTTTGTCAAAGGGGTGCGTGTGTCGTAGCAGGCACCCTGAGTGCTGCATTTTCCTAAAATGGCCGTTTTAGGCAATTCTTCAGGAAGACATATGAGGTGCGACTCTAAAGGAGCAAGGCAGATATCTTCCCCATGAATACACAAGAACACTTATGCCCAAATAACTGCCCTCTTTCGGAGCAATCCGTTTCTAACTCAAAAGACAGAGAGTGCTTATGAAGACAGTTTATCAGCCCCGTAAGAAAGTCAGTTTTGCTGTTTCCAGCTGGGACTCCTCTCATAAATGAGAGGTCATTTATGTTGGTTGTCCTGAAGCTCGGAGAGGCAGAGACCCTGGGCTCCTGGGCCAGGCTGATGCTGGAAGCCTCGAGGAGGCTTTCTGTGCCTCAGAAAGCAGATGGACCACGTTTATCTGTGGGCTGCCCACCTGCTGTACGTGGGTACAATTGGCTGAGCGTCATTTTAAGTGTCAAGTCACTAGGAGTCAAAGCAGCTTATTCCAGGACACATCTGAAAGTATCAATACTTTTAAGAAGGACAAAATAAAGTTCTAGAATCCGCATTTCCCTGAGCTGATTCTCTCTGGACTAAGTGCAACTTCTGAGCTCTAAGTCAGCATTTCCCAATATGTGCTCCATGAAACATGAGCTTAATGGATTATTAATAGTGTTCCCTGAAAAGGGGGCTTCACTGGTCAAATGAGTTTGGGGAATGCTGGGTTAGACAAAGTTCAGCAGGCTACTTTACACAAAACTTCCCAGAGCCTCTAACCACGCTGGGAATTCTCCAAGAAGCTCCAGGACTAGAGTTTGAGGACTATACTCCGGGGAAGCGTCACCCTGGACATCAATTGAAGTTCTGACTTCCCCACGCTGCTAGTACACAAGACAGACTGCCAACCCTGTGGCTGAGCCCTAAGTATCCAAACAGAAAAAAACGAAGAAAGGCTCTTCACCTAGAACTAAGATTCTCTAAGTGTATCCACTTGGTCACACTTGTATTTCATGGCAATTTCTCTGTAATCTAATTAAATGCAAAGGGGCTTGAGCCTGACATCCGGTCACAGCCTCCCTCCCGCACTTAAAGAAATGCCGAATGTCTGGTGCCGATGTTGCTAAAACTAAATTTTGACTATAACAGCTTCTTAGCCGGTCCTGAAGGGACAGTCAATACTAACAACATAATCACGACGCTAAGGGCTGTTAATAGCCATGGAGGGAATTTAGATTTCCTGGGATGGAGTATGTAGGGCTGGGTACCATGTGCCACCTTTCTTTTCAGCCATATTTCTGTAAATGTAAATTTCACTTACCACTCAGGACACAGAACCAGAAGTTATCCTTAAAAAGTTCTCCTCCACCTCTCACATCTGGTCTGCCCTAAGTCCTGTCAATCATACCTCTCTCTGAGTACTTTGCTCTCTTGCCTTCACCCCCATCGCCATGTCCAATGCTATGCCCCTCTTCCCTTGCACCTGAGGACCCAGTCATACTGAGAGACGTGTGGTCTCTAGAAGGGGTCCTGCTTTTCCATACCTCCTCCCTGGCCACCTACACACATGGGTCTCAGCACCTTGGCTGCCTCCGCCCACCCCCTCACCTCCATCTGCTTGGGGGATTTCTACTCCTCCCACAAGCCACCGGCTGACTCTGCTTTCCCCCTTCCTACCCTCCCACCTGGCGTGTACACTTGATTCATACCGTAGATGTGCGTTATTCCTTTATATAACTCTTTCCAACTATGCTTTAAGGGGTTCCATTTTACTCATTTCCCCCCCCCCCCATTCTCAATACTTACACAGAGACTGACACATAGAACATGCTCAGTGCTTTTGAACACATGGAGGGATTTTTTTTTAAAGAATGTTTAAAAATTAATCATAAGGCAAGCTCTGAACAACATGTCTTAAACTCGGGTTTCTGGGGAGGAGAAGCATATGTGACAGTACGGGACCAGACAGACTCCGCAGAGTCCTGAGGAGGCAAACATCAAGCCCCTTCTATGCCTCTGGAAATTGCAGTTTAAATGTGTCTTCAGTAAGAGGATTTATCTGGATCCTAACTACATATGGTCATATCGTCTCCTCAGAAAGCCGAGGCATGACACTGGGGGCTCTTAATACCCTTTAACGTTATTAATCCACTTTTCATGGTCACATGATTATTTTGATGGAAGAGGGGATGTGGGGTGAAGGAGCCTAGGCCTGTCCTTGTGCACTGCGCTGGGCGTTTAGCCTATATCATGCCTTTTAGAGACCATAAAGCCTCCTTCCCACGTGGTTGAGTTGGAAAGATTTACCCTGGTAGTTCATTATTTCAAGCCCCCAAAAGTCAAGCGTTTCTTGTTTCAGTTCCGAAACTCGAATCCAGACTGAGTTCTTTCTCGTGATGGCAAAAACAGAACACCATTCTTGATGCCTCTTAGTACACAGTATAGTTTGTGTGTCTGGCTTCCAGGATTGCTCACTGTTTACAATAAGAAATACCCAAAACTGACAATCTTGCCCACCAGTTTCACCTCCGCACAGATATGGATGGGTACAAATCACCCCACGTTTAATCTCCCTATGTAAAAGGGAAGGCCACAACTAGTGATGGTATTTATTCTGAAATACAGGACACAGCTTCAATTCTTTTGCCTCCTGGCCCTAGATTGGATCCTATACCAGGGGGGGAAAGAAGTGCCATAAAGGACGTCATCGAGTCAGTTGACAAAAGTGGAATATGGATGGCAAAGTACTGGATCGATATTTTTTTTAAAGTACAGGCTGACCCAAAGGGGGAAAGAAATGTTACTTTCAGTATACTAATGACAACTCCTAACCCTGGCGAATCACGCACATCCCTCTTTCTGCCTCAACTGTCATCATCTCAGTGTTGCAAAATCTCTAGGAAAAAAACACTTCTGCTTCCCACTTGACAGAAGCAGAGGCACACAAAGGTTAAACAAGCTGCCCGAGGATGCTTAAGCCCGCACAGGACAGGTAAGCCCAGAAGTCACGCCTTGAGCCCCACCTGGTGCGCAGACCCTCCGCACACGTGACTGACTCCACAACCTCAGACAGGGCAGGCACGCGCATGCGGCACCCCAGGTGCTTCTCAGTAAGCTTCAAAACCAAGACAGCATGGAGTTAAGAGGCCCGTGGGACGTAAGACAGAAGCTGCGCTGGAAGCGGTGGGGGAAAGCAACAGAAACCCATGGCCGAGTGATGCTGGGGGACCGTCCCGCTCAGTGGCGGCTCCTGATGCCTTTGTAAGGAGTGCAGTTACAGGATGGACACGCCCAAATTACAACACAGCACAAAAACTTCAAAAGCCACGACAGGTGTTTGAGAATATCTGTGCCTCCACCTCCCACTCCAAGGAGGGGTGGTCAGGAGGCCACCGGAGAAATTTGCTTCCAAAGGCCGAGTCTTTAGGAAATCAGTCTGTTTGGTGGACCAAGGGATACCTGTATTTAGAGACCCGGGAATACAAGACAGATCCTGACCTGTTTCCTTCTATTTCCAACTGAGAATTACTGGGCACCTTCTCCACGTTACACCTGTGGTAGAGTAGAAAGAACACTAGAGTCAGAAGACCTGGGTCCTCGTCCCAGCCCGGCTCCTTCCTCTTAGGCTGGTGACCTCGGGTAATTCATCTCACGCTCCAAGCTTCAGTCTCCTCACCTACCTGCCTTGCCAACCTCGGGGGACTGTTGGGAAGATTACTGGGGACGTTTCCTGCTTCTCCCGGACGCGTAAATACCTGTTACTCTGGTCTCATTTCCCTCCACACGTTTCCATCCGTCGTTCTAGAAGCAGTGGAGGAAAGGCAGCGTTTGCTTGGCGGGGGTAAGGGGGTGACCTTAGCAGTGTAGTAGCTTCGGCCTATCCGAGTCTAGCTCCTCACTTGTAAAATGGGGATAATACCTCAGAAAATGGTTGTGAACCCTAAACGGGATACTGTACTTTATTACAGCAGCCAGCACACAGAGGGTGCACCGAACCACAGCCTAAATTGGTTTCTGAACACCATCTAGGTAGTCAGCTCTCCTTCCCAGACCTCCATTCTTTTCCAACAGATCACCAAGTTAATGATCTTCAACTGGAAATGACAACCACCACGTGAGGTCTCTGGCCCTTCCTTCTCCAGGCCTCTAGGGAAGCCCCTTCCATTGAGGATTTTGCAACTGCACCACTGGCGTTCCTTCGTGTGGTGGCAGAGAAGTGGCTGAGAGGGGTGTCGCGCCCTGGGAAACCCCTCCATCCTCTCTAGATCTTACTCCAGGCAAAGACGGTGCCGTTGGCATACACAGCCCACGTCTGGCCACTTACACATCCCTCCTCAGAGACCTCACCCACTGTGCCCTGGGAGAGCAGGAGACACTACAGAAGGTGCAGAGCATAAATTCGGGAGTGGCGAGGCGAAAAGTACAGGCGATATTGGGAAAGCAGAGAATCGGGTGGAGTGTCTGACATACAAGGGAGAGTTGCACGTTGGAAGATGAAGTTGGGAAGGTCCTAGGGCCAGGCTGTGGAAGGCTATCTTTCCCACGGTGAGAAGTCTGGTCACTATCGGGTAGGCAATGAGAAGCTACTGAAAGTGGTTAAGTAACCACTGACGAGAGGGGATCCATGAATCAGAGGCAGGAGGAGAAGCAGGCAGCATGCAGCCGTCCAGGCACGGCCAGCGACGATGGTAAAGGACCTGAGGCAGACGGTGGGTGAGGACACAGAAGTGGTGGGGGGCCTGGGAGAAATGCTGAGGAAACTCTGTATGTAAGGGCGTGTTAGGAATAAGGCACAGAATTGGGACCACTTTTCTCCCAACACACTGGGGACCCTGAGTTGATGATGGGTGTTAACCAAGGGGATACCGAAGCTGAAATAGACCGTGTTGTCTCAGAATGTGTAGTCGTGAAGAGCATTCTGTAGACATGTTACAGGACATACTGCAAATACTTTGGAGAGAGAGGTGGGCATGGTTCTATGATCTGGCACTAACGGAGATTACACCTCATCGGGGAAGGAAGGCTCTGATCAAAGGAAATTCCAACAGAATGCTTTCGAACGATTCTGATAAGGAGTATGTGGGGACAGACCTACACGGGTCAGCAATCTGACTGAAAAAGAAGTACAAACACAACAAAAAAGCATATTAAATGATGGTATGGATTTGGCTTTCAAAATGTATGTTACTACAAATCAATTTTAAAGAGACAGTGTGGACACTGGTGTGATTACTCCACCTTGGATGGAAGACTCGGGATGATGATAACTGAGGGAAAGCCTTCGACATCACAAATACCTGAACACGCTTCAGATAAAGCACTTTGGGGAGATAATATTGGAAAAAGAAAAGGCCAACTTTTTAAAGTAAGAGCCCATCCCTTCTGGAATATGGGTTGACGATATGTGGGCCTTTAAGACAGTAGCTCAGCCTTACTCTAAACGAGGGAAATGCTACAAATGACTTTCCATCTGTATATAGGAATTCGTGTACAGGAATTAAACAAGTACACTTAGTCCTTAGGTTTGCAGTATTCCCAAGTCCTTAGAAAGGTACTATAATGTAACGGGGTAAAACGCCGGCTCTCTTTTCCCCGGTAAATGCAGTGATAGTGATATATATAAATATATATATCATATATATATATATATCATATATATATCATATATATAAATATATCATATATATATCATATACATATATATATTTTCCCCCCCAAAAGAGACCATAGACTCAAGATAATATTATTATATTCTTATTTAAGGGGCTCACGTGACCCCACCTTCCCTGAATCTCCCAGGCCACCTGCCTGTTCAGTACTATCCGGGCTATCTCCTCTACCACATGGCGAGCTAGTGGAGGTAAGTACCGTGAGTCTTTTTTTACCCTCTGGCCCTCAGGGCTGGAAAGAAGGGGGGAATAATACAATTAATATTTCCAGGATCAGTGAATAATTTTCTACAATGTGGGGAGAGCTAAGATTCAGAAGAAGCTGAGGCCTTCCACCATTCCTAGGGAAGTCATCAGTGTTTCTTAAAATGAGGGGCAAGAAGAAGACAGTCTAGCCTCCGGGAAGAGAGCAGAGGCTGAAGGGCATCAGGTATCAGGGAGGAAGGAGCCGTTTGGCCACGCCTGGCTGCCCCACTGTGTGCCAGGGTCAGGCAGCGCCTCCCCGCCGCTTCCCTTGTCCATCCTCAGAGCTGCACCTGAAGTCCAGACCCTCTGCAGACAGCGAGGCCCATCCTCGCAGTACACTCCTCCTGGTCAGAGCGGGAGGAGGTGATGATAACCTCCTCATATTCTGTTTCCAGACTCTTTGGGAACATGAACGACGCTCAGATTTGAAAAGCAAGGCATAATAAATGTTGAACAAAAGCTACTGATAGGAGAGTTGATAGAGCATATCAGGAAGCTTCAGATGAGTTCAAGTGTCCAGTTGCAAACTAATTACATCCTGAAAGAGTGTGTCAATTGCTTTTGCTAATGATGTTTAAGAAATCACAGGGACTAGAAATGGAATCAGAAGACTAAGTGTCCAATTTCAAAAGGAGAAGGGAAACTCGAGGCGGCTGTGCTTGATGTGGACCCTTGGTCAAAATTTAGAGGAAATTATTCAGATGCCACAGGGCTACAGAGAGAAGATAAATGACATCGTTAAGTACCGGTAGGGGGTCCCTTAGAAAAAGCCATGGCAAGCTAACCTCATTTCATCCTTTCCGCAGGGTTTCTAGGTTGATGGACTGGAGAGGCCACAAACACGGTATATCTTGGTTTTAGCTTTTTTTGATAACCTTGAGAAAGGATAGATGAATGTGGGTGACATGACAGCATGGTCATGTGAGTTCACAGACGGTTCATCAACTTTAAAGATTACCGATTAATAGATTCACGTCAACCTTAAGTGATTTTCAGGGGCATGTCAGAGAAGACCTGTCCTTTGCCCTTTAGAAGTTTCTTCGCAATAGCTTATAGCAAATCTTCAGATGACAACAACTTAGGAAAACAAGTAAACGTGGTTTTGTTTTGCTTTTTAAAAAAAGGCATAAAATAATCAGTGTTACATCAATAGGCTAGAATGGTGGTACAAAAATCAGTAAGATGAAACTATATAGGAATAAGTCGATACAGGATAAAAAAAAAATCAGAGGTTTAGCTGAAAGGCTAACCTTGGCAGCATTCACGTGAGATAAGAACTGTGTGTATGTTTTGCGGGAGAGGGAGTTTTTCAAGAAGTCGTGTTTTCAACGTGAGTTAACTCTGAATCAAGGTTGGTGAAAAAAGTTAACACGCTCCTGAGTTATGTTAACAGAGTTTTGGTGTCCAGAATAAGAAGGCTAGCCATCCTGCAATTAGCCGCCATCGGAATACCTCTGGAGTTCTGGGTGCTATGTTTTCCATGGGACACTAAGAAAGTAAAATGTGTCTAAGGGCGGGGTGGAGTTGGGGGGTACTGGGATGGCTGGAAGTCCAGGCATCACTCAGATAGCAAAGTGAGGTGTTACAACCCGAAGGAGAATGTCCTAAGGCAGATACGTTTATGAATATTTTAAAGGACATTTCTCGGAATGAGAACAGATTGACGCTCTGAAGTTCCAAGCAGAACAAAAGCTAGAAGTCAGAGGGCTGAGTCTGTTTTCATATAGGAAATGCCTGTCGTGTTTAGAGCTGTCCTTTGGTGTCGCAAACGGCTTCCTGACACAGTGAGCTAACGCTGGGCATGTCCGCACAAGGTTAGATGATGGTCTGCTAGAGGCGATGCAGGGGGACACATCTGGGAAACTGGACCAGGTAGAGCTAAAACCCCTTCAAACACTAAGAATCCCTCTAGGAATCTCCCTCCTTATCCAAGGAACTGTAAGCCATGTCTCTAGACTTGGAATAGCTCCACCAAACCCAGACCCTGCTTTTTCACCATCACCATCTCTTCACAGGGGCAATTTTAAAGGGTACAGATGCAAATTAGGATGGATCCCTTTTCCAAGAGAAAAAAGATCTTAGGTTAAATATTATATAAAGGGAGAATATAATTTTAAAAGCCTTCTACATAACCATGCTTATTAACAAATCAAAACAAAGCCTTCCAATAATACTTCATATCAAGTTTTCTATTTGGAGAAATAAAATGGTGGGAACGGTAACAAGAGATCAGTGCTACCTCTAGTAGAGATTACCGCAGAAAAATTTTACATTTGTGAATCACACAGAATTATTGGCTCTCGGAGGGGAGAGGGGGTCACATTTTTAAAAAGCATCCCGCTAAAAAAAATTAGGACTGGCACTGAAAACAAAGGCAATAAATAGACACAAATTATCCTAGTTCTTTTTAAACAATAAAAATACATCTGTCCCAGAATCATGCAAGAAGTTTGAAAAAAAAAAACTGTCTCATAAGAGCTAATTAATTCTTATGTATCAGTTAAATATAGATGGCAGTTCTTATTTAATACGCTGCTAATGTACATGACTGTCAGAGCTGTAACATTTGACTGAGGTGATGGGAAGGAGGTTAGTCCAGGTGGTACTTCTTTCACAGGTAGGTTGAGTTACTATATTAGTCACTGACTTTACTGGTGCAAAAATCTCAACACATGGCGAAGTACATTTCTCAGCAGCATTTTCTAAAACCAACCAAAAATATGATGTATCTAATTAAGGCCCTCCTAATTTGAGTACCTCCTACTTGAGCACCAAATTTGGTAAGAGACATAAAAAACACAAACTGAGTAAGTGCTTTTTTTTCTAGAGGATCACTAACACGAAATATACATGAAACATGTAGCAGTGGAGAATTTAGAACATACTTCCCAGAAGTACCTAAACGTGGGCAGTAATAGAATGGGGGGCCTTACCAGGGTACTTTCAGGAAAAGTAAAACAAATAAATAAAACCAGAGAAAGGGGGAAAACAAACAAATGATTCAGTGTCTGCAGGTTGAAATATTTAAATAGCCTCTCCCTATAGTACAAGCAAAGACATGCTCAGTCATCATTCCCAGTGAAGCTATGTTTTCTGGTTTTGGAAATAACAATATGAAAGCCGTACGAGCAAGGACATTTTCTTTATAGTGCTCAGAGCTCCATTCACCTACCTGATTTGCTATAAATCGTCTGAAAGGCTGATTATTAATAATTAAACTGTTCAAAGAGCTATATTAACTCATCAAATCTTCCTAATGCCTCTAGAGGCAGGTACAGTAATCATTCCATTTTGTGGACTAGGAAACTGAGGACCAGGGAGGTTAAGTAAATTGCCCAGCTGCTCCACAGGTAGCAAATGGTAGAGACAGGATTCAAATGCAGGTAGTTCAACCAAGACAAGAGCTTAAACTACTGCGCTATGCTTAGCTGAGGTTAAAGAGACCTAACATCATACTAGTCTGTATTTGGGGGTGGGTTCTGGAGAAGTCATCAGCCCATAGCCCTGTGCGTCAGGAAATCACAAACCTGAAAGGCTACGGAGCCAGCAGGTGATATAAAGGAGTGAAGTGGGCCAGGTGCGAAAAACACGATGATAAATGGCAACTGACACTCCATACTGGAGGGACGATAGTGAGCGACGGCGATGGTGGCCGCCTAGAGCAGACAGTCTGCAACGGGTTGGGGTGTGGGTTCCACTCCTACTGTTACCTTAGGGAAGGCTAGGTAGAGTGCTGCCAGATTTTTAGGTTTTTCCAAAAATGGGGGGAGGGGGGAAACCCTGACGTTTTTATAAGAACTCTCTCCAGCTTTATGTGTTTGCTTAAAAGAAAAAAAAAAGAGAAACATGAAATAAAACCATCTGTTGGCAGTACGTGGTCCACTGGCTGGTGACTCCTTTTACACCATTAAAGGAGGAGACAGCCATCACCTGGCATAAAAGGCCTGGCTTTCAAACCTCCAAGGACTTTCTTGGCTCTTCTCAGTGTTACAGCAGGCCTAGGCTCACTCAGCAGGTAATGAACACAATGCCTGTTAGATATCAAGGCACACCTGGTCCAAGCCACAGGCATTTTCACTCTCCTGGGACAAAGGCAAAAAGTTAGAGGTATGTGCAGAGTGATACTCTCTGCTTATTTTTCTCTACACCAGGCGCTGATAAAATAAGGTGTAACTGTCCAACCTGGCTTCCTGGAAACTACTCCTGCTTCCAGCCAATCTACCAGTACAGCTGGGGAGGAACAGAAACTTGACAGAGAGAATTACTGACTCCGGGTTTACAAGGAAGTTGGCATGTTCATCTGGGCAAAGAATGATCTCGTGGCCAAATTTTCCTTCCTAGATTACTGTCATTCCCCTGTGTCAGTGAACAGCTTATCCAAACCTAATGTAATGGGGCTGCCCTTTGTGGCCATTTTAGAATGCTCAAAGGGAATGACTTTAAAAAAAAAAAAAAAAAAAGGAAAATAATAGTGAAAATAGTAAGCAGGGAACCTGAGAGACCTGGTAGGCAGAGAGGAGCAAGAAATTCTGACCCTTCCACACGCATCTGCTCCTATGTCCCTTTCTCACCATTTCTGAAAAGTCTTTATGTTTTCTCTAAGGAGCTGTCAGTAAAACCCCACTGAAAGTTTCTTGCTTTTTATACTACTTAATCTTCACGATGAGGTTTTCTTCCTCGGATGAAGACATGCAACTAAAATTACCACGAAGAACTAAAAGCACAACTTATTTGTAGTAAACAATTCCAGTTATATAGAGCAACACCAGTGAATGTCAAGAATTTTTGGTAACGAAAAGTTGATTCATGCCACTATGTAACTTAGAGGAAAAAAAATTTCAATTTTTCAACTGAAGTGAGATGTCATCTTCCTATTAAAACCGCATCACAGGATTACTGAGTAGAAATCAAATCAACCAACCAAAATGTAGCCTAACTAGTTTATCGACTATATAGGGCTGCCTGACACCCAAGAACATCTTTACTTTGGTTTTCAAATATTGTTTATTGTTTAAAAGTGGCCTGGGGATAGTGTCCAGTACAGGTTTCTCAAGGTTCACATTCAAAAGTTCCATGAAAAAGAGGGAAATTTGCTGAAAAACCATCCTGTCTAGGTAGGGTTATGAGAAAAGAGGGAGATGGCTCAAACAAGTGCTCAGAAATTCAAGTGTCTTGGAAGGAAAGAAGGAAAGGTATTTTTGATGGAAGCTTCGGTTTGGCTTAAAACAAAGTCCTAGCATGAACATTTACCTTAAATATGTGATAGGACTCTTTTTCTCCTCTAACACCTCAATCCAAAGGTATAATTTCACTCTCTTTCCAATGCTTCCACATCAGTGATGGTATTTTGGAAATCCTTAAAGAACCCTTCTCCAGCTTAGGTTTTTTTTTTCTTCCATTTGGTCATCTAAACTCCTCTTTCCAAATACCTTAAATAACACCTGGTAAACTATTACACAAAATATCAAGAGCAGCCTCTCTGAATAGAGTACAAGTTTACTGATACCTCTGGAGCAAAAACCATCAAACAGGAGGTAGAAAGGGCCTAGAACCCAGCATACACCTTAATAAATCTTGCTCTGCAGGCAGCGTTACCTGTGGTCTTGATGAAGATGATGGAGGTGAAGGAACGAAACGCTCACCTGTCTTTGTAGTTTATCACAGTATCGATGATAGCGTTCATCTGCTTTGTCAGTTTAGGGGGATTTGGTGACAGTTTCTCAGCCGGAGGGCGACCTCTCCTCTTCTTGGCCTTTTCCATATCTTCTTTTGCAGGATCTTTATCCACATTTCTTCGTCTTTTTCGCTTCTTAAGCCGTACTTCCTCTTCCATTTCTTCCAAATTGCCGTCTTCAATGGCCTGTTAATAGGGAACGAAGGAGAAAAATTCAAGACGAGAGAATACCGAAAAGAAAACAATTTACATAAGTCGAATAAAATGAAACTAACAACAGAAAAAAAAAAAAAAAAGTAAAAGTTAACAGTAATCAGTGAAGTAAGAAGAAAAAACAGAAGACCACCATATTGGATAAATGCATCTTTAACCCAAGTCTGTTTCATGAGCAAAATAGGCGAAGGCCCGAAACACTAATAGCAAAGAATGTGACAAATATGAAAAGATCTATACATTTAAGTGTTTGAAGATAACTAAAACCAAATGACATTTCAGCTCAATATAAGATAAAGACCTTTATTGTCTCATTACCGTAGAAGGTAAAAGGGAAACCAAAAAAAGGGGTGAGTGAAGAAGAAATTTCCCTGAGACTACATCCTTACAATCATATAAGCTTTGATCTTCTCTTCTTTGAGGTTTAACATCAATTTATTCGTGATTCACAACACAAAATCAAAATTCCGTCCAGATTTTCTTCTAACGTAGCAATTAGTAAACAAGGAAACAGGAAGTACAAAGCCACATTCCTGGGTAAACGCACTTAAACCATCCAGATCAAGAACACACACACAAACAAAAAACACTTTTTTCCAATTACCTGCAAACGCTTGCTTTAAACCAGAGCCAGCAGCACTAATGCAGAGAGATAATAAAATAGCTATAAAAACAACCAGGTATAAAAAGAAACCTGTTCATAAATGGCTAAAAGATCCATGTGACAGACCCAGAAGTTTAAACTTTTTTTTCCCCCTAGGAAATCTCAAAACTTAAGAAGAATAAAGGGAAAGAAACAGAAACAAAAACAAAAACTGCAAAGAAAAAAACAACAATAGGTAAGAGAAAATTTGACCATGGAAAAGAAGATTTTTAAAAAGACCTTGAAATTACATTTCGAGATTGGTTTCTTACACAAAATGAGTGATGTTATTTGTTCCTCCTGCCCCTTAATATTGCCTCCAGTATGTCTCGTGGCTGAAAAGAGCTCTATTCATCAGGCAATTACCTTCATTTCTCCACAGCACCAAACATGGCTAATATTTATGATCATGTGAGTATAACAATCAATATAAAGAGTGATTACAGCCCAGACATAATTTCTTTCACTTATGTACAATGCCTTCTGAAAAAGAAAGGTTTTGTGAAGAAAACCTGGTGCAGAACACAAAACAACCTGGCATGTTAAAAATGCCAGTGGGATTTAAAAAAAAAAAAAAAAAAAAAAAAGGTTTTCTATGCATCTTCCAACGTGCAACCCCAGAGAAGCAACATGCACACAGACAGAATCCTAAAGGGACAGTCTGAGCCTAGGCCTTAATAATCAAAAGACAATTTCCATCACGATCCTACAGTGTTCAGATGATAACCACTATAAAAGGAGGCAAGGTCTGATGGGTTATGAGGAAAAAGGAAAAAGAAAAAGGAAAAAAAAAAAGCTCCACGTTATTTCATTAACATTCATTTGCCTAAAAGCAGGACACCCACTATACAGCTAAACACACTGCAGCTAAAGCGAAGATCAAGAAGAGGAAACTGTCCCGCAAATCTTGGAGGCTGAACATGCTAATAATAAATACAGCATGCAAGGCTTGTCAACAGTTAATGGTACTGCTCTCCTCAAGCACCCAGTTACACACAGAAATACGGAGAACACCGGCTTTGATGTGTTACACACCTACACATGCCTGGGATGTAGTTCTACTGAATCTTCAAGACGGCAACGAAAAAGGATATTTACCTTACCACTATCGGCAGGCCGGCTATCGGAAATCACAGTTAGTGGGGATAAAATTAACAAGCCAGCAAAGCAGCGAGCTGCTAGTCTCTTCATCAGCTGATCGGGAAAAAAAAGAGAGCTGGGGAAAGGCTATGTTTTCATATACAAGTAATTTTATTTGACTGAAAATTTAATACTGAAAGGATTGTGGATACTCAAATCTGCTGTTTCATTCTACCCACTACAAGGCCCGAAGCCTTCCTCCTTCAGCCTGTTTTAATATTGACAACTACTTATCATATTTTTTTCCCCCCCTTATTATTCCAGGCAGCAGAATTAGAGATTTTAGCTCAGGTGGTTTCTGATTCTTACTTGCATTTGAACAATTAAGCCACTAAGAAAACAAATTAATATTCAAATTTATTTTTTTAAAAATTAAAACCAGGTATGCTTTTATTTTTGTATTTGAAAGCTCATTTTAGTGCCTTGAAAAAAAATAGGCTGCATGGTTTTGGAGCAGTCTAAGAGGAATTTTTTTTTTTTTTTTTGGATAAAAGACTTTTTCATTAAATGCATGTAAGTAAAAGCAATGTGCATGTTCTCAAATATTTTAATACAGTATGTTATTCTCTTTAAAGAAAATCCCGAACAACTGTGACACTTCACTTTCAGTTTCATGCTGTAAAATTTTTCATTGTTTTTCTTTTCTGTGGGATAAATGATGAGGGGGAAGCTGTGAAAAGAATATTTCTACTTTACCTCCTCCCCCCTTAATTTTGCAAAAAAGGAACAAAGCATAAGCTTGTGATATTTGGACTTTTCAGTCTCTAAATCTGGGAGTAGCTAAGAAGCGAAAACAAATTAAACTGCAAAAAGAACCAGTGAAACGATTTTTATTACAATTGCTAATACGTGCAGATTCTTAGTAAATTTAGGTTTTGGAATCATAAGGAAACACACAAAGTACTGACCATTATTCCCCTTAAATTAAGGTTTTATGCAGGAATGCAGAGAACTACAAAACATCTTCCCTCCTCCCCAAAGACCCCAAACACATCCATATGCAGTGCTTTATGTTCAGGGATTTCTAAGGGTCTTTTTCTAATGGAAATCAATTCACTAAATATTTCCCCGTGCTTTTCGCACTTCGAGTGGAGTAAGATTACTCCTGCCTGTAAGTAAAATTATGCATGGAAAATTTTAAACTATTCTCCTCCTTAAAAAATTATTTATTCAACTGGCTTCACTGACACCACTCAGGGCTAGGGGCGAGTGACACACACACAAAACTTGCTACACAATGCTCAAGTACTACCCCACAAAGAATTCCCTTCCAAACCTTTTACCAGCACAATATTGAAATAAATCACAGAAGCAAACCCCCAGTTTCCGACTGGTGACGTGTTGCGCAAGAGTGCGAGCCCTAATTCAACATACAGACGGCTCCCATGCTGAACTGCCTCTAGATTTAATGAAGTGAATAGGAAGGAAGTCGGGGGAAAAAAAGTGTACAAATAAGAAATTAACACTTTCCTTCCCTACCCAAACGGTGAGACACAACTACAGCGAAGTTTGGTGAGGCACTTCTTCCCTTAAAGGCACATGGCACCCATTTGGGTCCCGATGCCACTAGGGAAAAAACCCTTCTGGTGATAAAAATCCCCAGCCAAGTTAAAATAGTTAAGCATATTTCAGCCTGCGTTTTTTCCTGAATGAAGCTGGGAATTACTCTTTCCTCCACTGGATGGCAACCTTCTCCACCCCCACCCCCCCTTTTCTTTTTCTCTTTCTCTTTCAATTTTTTTTTTTTTTTTTTAAGAATACATGATCATGACACAGGATGTGCAAGGATGAATACAGAGTGGCTCTTTCCCCAATGAGTTAAGAAAGCAGCGTGTGTGTGTGTGTGTTTGTGTCTAGGTTCTGATAACAAAATGCAGGAGATGGTCGTGCAGGATTAGCCGTTTTAAAGGAAACACTTTGCAGCTCACAGAGCACACAGCAGACCCGGGAATCAGCTGCACGTGGGTCCAGCCGTGCCCCTCTGTCATCCTGACACACACTACATCTTTTAGTGAAAGATGAACAGTCCAGAAAGTGTGCATTATCTTTGCTCTTCTCAACCTGTGGTATAGTGGGGTGCTATCATATGTAACTCCACAATACCAGGCGGCAGCAGAAGGGATCCATGACTATGAATAGGTAAACAGGGACAAGCAAACAAAAGCCACAAGCCAACTCCGGGCGCATTGTTTCACTGTGGTTGTCTTTTCCACTCAGCATCTCCAAATTCACCAAGCGCTGCGGCACAGCCCTTACAGTGGAACACACCATCTTAAGAAAAAATGAAAGGAGCAATTCAAGAGCAATTCTGGACAATGCATGGGGCATCTCTTGGATATGAAATGTGAAATTTAGTATTTTAAATTTAAATATCTGCTCCCCTGACAAGGTCTCTCTTTCCCTCTCACCTCCCACCCCCCCGCCCCCCCTCCCCCGCCCCCCCCTCCCGCTCTGGGGGTCCTCCTTCCTTAGGACCCTAATTGGATTGCAGAAGAAGACTAGGATGCTGCGGGGGCTGTGAGGTGAAGGTTACAGAACTGAGGGCTAAGCAGTAAAGACAGGATTGTTGCTAATTACATGTCAATTCCAGTGCTTCCTGGGGACCACTAAACTTGATTTCAGTATTCAGGGAGACTAAACCTCCCTCAAGCCCTGCTAAGACCTGGAAGCAAATAATACAGGTAATGAACCTCCAAACAATCAGAGCTATTAATAGCAGCAGCGGCAACAACCAATAAGTGGACTTTTTAAGAAAAATTTAAGATTTCTTGTATGAGAAACTTTCTTATAATAGGAATATTTAACAACAAAAAATTGAACGTGGAGCTCTTGATCAAAACGCCACATCATTTTAGTCACTCGGTTTAATAAAGACAGTAACAATTTCGGATGCAGAATTTCAGACCCACGGCTGAAACTGGACAATTGTTAAGTTTTTGATTATCATGTGAAAATAAAGGGAAGCCTCATGAAAATGGAGTCAGGAGGCCACAAGGGGGAGCCCTCACAAAGCCCCACTCCACAGTCAATTACAGGAAGAACTGCCAATTACAGGGCCCAAGAGAAGAATCATCAACAGGACAGAACCACCAGTTACAAGACCCAACTAGAACAGATGTATGGGCGACCCTTGAACAACATATGGGTTTGAACTGCACGGGTCCACTTACACAATGATTGTTTTCAATAG